TATCCCACACAAACAAAAACTAACCCGTGAAAAACCATTTGTGTCTACTCTATCTATCTGTTTAAACCAGGGCTGAGAAGGAGAAGAACGAGTACTACGGCCAGTTGAACGATCTGCGCTCCGGTGTTGACCACATTACCAACGAGAAGGTATTCAAATTGATTCATTTCTTTGCTCTCATCGATTGCCGCTGTAAATTAAATGCTGAAAGTTCTATATCTATATTTTTGCCACGAAAACTTGTGTATAGTCAACGAAACCAGACCTCGACCTCGAAGAACCCCTGTAAAAAAATATTAGTACAACTAAAACGACCCCCAAAACTAAAGTAATCAGCCCGCTTGACGTACTAAAACCCCAAAAGCCTTGTACAGAAAACCACCTTACACGAAAACCAATGTGCACACCACTCAAAACAAAAAGATAAAACCCACCCAAAACCCGAGACTAAAAAACCCCCAATTCTTAAACTCCCACAGGCTGCCCAGGAGAAGATCGCCAAGCAGCTGCAGCACACCCTCAACGAGGTCCAGTCCAAATTGGATGAGACCAACAGGACCCTCAACGACTTCGATGCCAGCAAGAAGAAGCTGTCCATTGAGAACTCCGACCTGCTCCGCCAGTTGGAGGAAGCCGAGTCCCAGGTGTCTCAGCTCTCCAAGATCAAGATCTCCCTGACCACCCAGCTGGAGGATACCAAGCGTCTCGCCGACGAGGAGTCCCGCGAGCGTGCCACCCTTCTGGGCAAGTTCCGCAACCTGGAGCACGACCTCGACAACCTGCGCGAACAGGTTGAGGAGGAGGCCGAGGGCAAGGCTGATCTGCAACGTCAATTGAGCAAGGCCAACGCCGAGTCCCAGATCTGGCGCAGCAAGTACGAGTCCGATGGTGTTGCCCGCTCTGAGGAGCTGGAGGAGGCCAAGCGCAAGCTGCAGGCCCGTCTCGCCGAGGCTGAGGAGACCATCGAGTCCCTTAACCAGAAGTGCATTGGCCTGGAGAAGACCAAGCAGCGTCTGTCCACCGAAGTCGAGGATCTCCAGCTGGAGGTCGATCGCGCCAACGCCATTGCCAATGCCGCCGAGAAGAAGCAGAAGGCTTTCGACAAGATCATCGGCGAGTGGAAGCTCAAGGTCGACGATTTGGCCGCTGAGCTCGATGCCTCCCAGAAGGAGTGCCGCAACTACTCCACTGAACTGTTCCGTCTGAAGGGTGCCTACGAGGAGGGCCAGGAGCAGCTGGAGGCTGTGCGTCGTGAGAACAAGAACTTGGCTGATGAGGTCAAGGATCTGCTCGACCAGATCGGTGAGGGTGGCCGCAACATCCATGAGATCGAGAAGGCCCGCAAGCGTCTCGAAGCCGAGAAGGACGAACTCCAGGCCGCTTTGGAGGAGGCTGAGGCCGCTCTCGAGCAGGAGGAGAACAAGGTGCTGCGCGCCCAGCTGGAGCTGTCCCAGGTCCGTCAGGAAATCGATCGCCGCATCCAGGAGAAGGAAGAGGAGTTCGAGAACACCCGCAAGAACCACCAGCGCGCCTTGGACTCGATGCAAGCCTCCCTCGAGGCTGAGGCCAAGGGCAAGGCTGAGGCCCTGCGCATGAAGAAGAAGCTGGAGGCTGACATTAACGAGCTGGAGATTGCTCTGGATCATGCCAACAAGGTGGGTTCGACACCAAACTTCGCTCTTAAACCATACTCATCCATATCGATTGTTTTGCTTTCCTTTCCAGGCTAACGCCGAGGCCCAGAAGAACATCAAGCGTTACCAGCAACAGCTTAAGGACATCCAGACCGCCCTTGAGGAGGAGCAGCGCGCCCGTGACGATGCCCGTGAACAGCTGGGTATCTCTGAGCGTCGTGCCAACGCTCTCCAGAACGAACTGGAGGAGTCTCGCACTCTGTTGGAGCAGGCCGATCGCGGCCGTCGCCAGGCCGAGCAGGAGCTTGCCGATGCCCACGAACAGCTGAACGAGGTTTCCGCCCAGAACGCCTCCATCTCCGCTGCCAAGAGGAAGCTCGAGTCTGAGCTGCAGACCCTGCACTCCGACCTGGATGAGCTCCTCAACGAAGCCAAGAACTCCGAGGAGAAGGCCAAGAAGGCTATGGTTGATGCCGCCCGCCTGGCTGATGAGCTCCGCGCTGAGCAGGATCATGCCCAGACCCAGGAGAAATTGAGGAAGGCCCTTGAGCAGCAGATCAAGGAACTGCAGGTCCGCCTGGATGAGGCTGAGGCCAATGCCCTTAAGGGCGGCAAGAAGGCCATCCAGAAGTTGGAGCAGCGCGTCCGCGAGCTCGAGAACGAGCTGGACGGTGAGCAGAGGAGACACGCCGATGCCCAGAAGAACTTGCGTAAGAGCGAGCGCCGCATCAAGGAGCTGAGCTTCCAGTCCGAGGAGGACCGCAAGAACCACGAGCGCATGCAGGATCTGGTCGACAAGCTGCAACAGAAGATCAAGACATACAAGAGGCAGATCGAGGAGGCCGAGGAAATCGCCGCCCTCAACCTGGCCAAATTCCGCAAGGCTCAGCAGGAGCTTGAGGAGGCCGAGGAGCGTGCCGATCTGGCCGAGCAGGCCATCAGCAAATTCCGCGCCAAGGGACGTGCCGGTTCTGTCGGTCGTGGTGCCAGCCCAGCGGTAAGTTCTCTTAACCCTATAATACTTATACATTGACCATTAACCGATGACCCTCTGACCCGATTACCCCTTCACTCTCTGACCCCAAAAATCATTGAAATTTCTCTCACTCGACCAGTGTACACTGAGCTACCATTGTGCTTTGAATAGCCGCCATATCACTCTCTTTTGCTCTCTCGATCGGTTTAAATAATGTATACAAATATATTCTTCCCTTTCATATTTTGCGCGATACGCTCTGCTTCTTCGTTACTGCTCGACCAAAACAAAACAAAAAGATTTAAATTTGAGGCACAACCACCACGAGAAAATAAAACCAAAAAAATTTCTATATAGCGATCCAATATTGGTTCATTTACGATAATGAGAGAACAAAAACATGCAAAGAGAATTATAGCTTATAAGAATTATTATAAAATAAATACTAAAATAATAATATAGATGCATCATACGACATTCGCTAGATGAGAAAACTGTAATTAGAGGCAACCAGAACCAGAACCCAATCAATCAACCACAGAACAAGGCAAAGGATCAATCAAAAGATCATCGAAAATCACGTACCAACCAAAAATGCGTTCATTTTGACAGAAAATAAAGAAAAAGCTACAAAAAAAGAAAAGAAAATAACAAGAAATAGTTACCAGCAGCTTAATCAATCGACTTTGCTTATACTCTACAACCATTCTGCATACAAATTTACAAAAAAAAAACTAAAAAGAAAAGCACACACTATTCTTCCACTATATTATTAAAAACACAATATATCAAATGTATTTGTACATGTGTACTGCAGCCGACAGCGCCCAAGGGTGGCCGCCAATGGGGCGCGCTGCTGGAGCAGTAGAAACTTTCTTGAAACATTTGTAAGTGGGACGTGTTCGTTCTTGTTCTCGTTCACGTTCAGTCTCTCGCTCGTTCACGTCTTGTCTTGTTCTCGTTGTGTCGAAACTCCCAATCCCCCAAAAATATACACACAACATCAACCCTAGAGTCCGACGCAGCTCATGACGTGCTCTCGCTCATTCGTTCGTTCGTTCAGTCTCATCCGTTACGTTTTGTCGTCGTTCGTCAAGCGCTATCTTGTTCATACTCGTTACTCGTCTTCGTTCATTTCCCCGTTATGACACTCGCTCGGCGAGCACTTACGTACAGTCGTCACCACAGTTGTATTACTCTCCTCTACTGCCGGTCCACTACATAATGTGCTGGCAGGCGATTCGTTCGTTCTCGTTCTTTCCCGATCAGTTTGTCCAACTCGGAGACTTGTCCCACCCGAAACCCCAGCATGATTACAAATACCATTTATATGGAGCTGATAACTAATTTGTGTTTTCTCTTCTCTTCTTTAGCCCCGTGCGACGTCCGTTCGGCCACAATTCGACGGATTGGCTTTCCCACCAAGATTCGACCTTAACCCTGAAAACGAATTCTAAATGCCATTTCATTTTTTAATTTATTTTAAATGATATTTCATAATGATTATGTTTATGATTTTAATTTAATTTCTTAATTTAAAAACAAAATAATAAAACTATAACAAAATATATATCGAAAACGACGGGAGGCAAACAACAACCAAATGCACTTAGGCAAAAAACCCAATAACAACAACATCAACAAAAATCAAAAGAAAAAGAACAATCGATTACGATCGATAACAGACATAAGTCCATTGTGTAGCATCACTGGGTATATCAGGCTATTGTGTAAGCGCGACATTTGCTCCGGGACACTGCTGGCGAGACCTGTATTTGTATTTGTATTTATATATTTTTATACAACTTTCGAAATGCATTCAACCAACCATCATCATGAGAAAGATCTTGAAACGATAGCCCCGTCAAAGCGTCAAAGGCCCCGCAGGAGTGTCCGCCAGGAAATGTCGCTCGCTGTTCGAATATTGTTCAATATGTATTCTATTCTCAATATTTGTTATACGGACTAGACAGACTGACCGTATACACATAATTGCTATACACTGCGCTTATGTTTATGTTTAATTTTTTATTTTTATCATAAAATGATAATGAGAAAAGATCATCACTCGACACTTAATGAAAAGTATACAAAAAAGGAACAAAATAAATGTAAATCAATTTAAAAAATTTGTTTGACTTTAATTTGTCTCCTTCTCACTTGAGAAATGTTTGCGAATAGAGAGGGTCAAGGGAATAAATGCAGGACTGCTTTTGAGAAGACACATGATCCTCGACACTCGATCGATTCGACTATAGAAAGGAGCCTTTGGCGTCCAAGGAGGGACGTCATTTTTCCACCCAAGAGATATATACATTCGACGTTATTATAATTATGCATACATATTCATTGAAAAAGGACGAATATACATAGTAAAAGATTTTCTAAAATATATTCCTAAAATTGATTGATTTATTGATTTACAACGACTGTACAATTTACAGTCTATGACTGCAACCTCATATGTACATACATATCTAAAGATATTGATGGATAAAATATCATCTAAATTTCTTTCTTTCCCGCACCGGGTGGCTTAGGATTGGGTTGGATGCGCAACAGCTGTTTGTGCTGTCCAATCATGTGCTCAATGTGATTGCATTCGCGCAGGTGACCCTTAAACTCGTCGAGAGTTTGGAGGAGCACCGGATAGAGGGCTGGCAGGAGACCATGATCGAGGGTAGGGAAAAGATGGTGAAGCACGTGATCGCCGAAGTGGGTGAGGACCAAGAACTGCGACCCCTTGAGATCACCGCGATCGATGATCGTGTCCACCTGGAATAGGCCCCAGTCGCGATCCTCTCGATTCGTATCTCCCTCATGATAGATTTCCGGATCATGATGCGCCGCATTCAGTCCGATAAGGCAGAAGCTGAAGCTAGCTATCGACGTCATTGCCAACCATGTGCGCAGACAGGAAAGCAGGCCCACAGTACCGCCCGTGCCCAGGTAGATGGAAAGGGGTATGCTAAGCGCCAGCAGATCGTGCCAGTACATGATATTCGTGTGGCGGAACGAGTAGAAAATTCTGAAATATCAATCATCTAAAGATTGCTGATTGAAGTGATAGCGCTAATCATTCGCTTACCGAGTGCCAATCTGTATGAAAAATGCCAGGGCATAGGCCACCGGCTCCGTCACCCAGGACACGTAACGCATGGCCTTGCTCTTGATTTGTGGATTGGGAATCCAGCAGAGCAGTGGCTCGAACATGGACAGCTCCAGGTCCATATACGAATTGGGATAGATGTGGTGGGACATGGCATGTGAGACGCGCCAGGAAGCGAAGTTCATCAGGCCCAGGTTGAAGGCGTACATCTGCCAATTGTCGCGACGATGGAAGTAGTTGTGCGATACTATCACGGTCCAGCAGAGCGCTACACCCGCCAGGATCAAAGCCACCAAACTCTTGTACTTGGCACTGATGATCGCAAACAGGAACAAGGACACTAGCACGCCGAAGTGGATTAACTAAATTTTGAGAGATTTTAGTATTGTCAGATGGCTTACTGATGGCCTAAACTTTTAACTCACATCACTCTTGCGCTTTGGTGTCTTGTCGATGGTTTTCAGCTCCTTACGCACCCGCTCCTTGAGGGTCTTGTAGAACCCACCCTCATCAAGGGTCAATGTGTAGATCCTAGGCTCCGCAGCATCTCTCACCCAGTACTTGGCGATCATCTTCTCGGGAGCCGTGGTCAGATGGTGCGCCTCAAAGGCCTCCGTAATATCGGTGCCCTTCGTCTCGCGTATCCAAAAGGAACCGCCAGGATGCTTGTCAATGAACTCCGTAAAGTCGTAGATGCCATCGTTTATGCGCCATAGTCCTTCCGCCTGATCGTCCTCGCGCTTCCCTTTCTGCCAACTGTGTGTAGTGACCAAAGCGGAATTTCGGTATGTTGGGAACTTGGTGGCAATGCCACTCTTCTTCCACTCCTCAATCACCATGATGGAGAGTCCTTTTATGGGGTCCTCTGACAATCCTAGGCTCCGGCTGAGCAACTGTACGAGTGCGCTCCGCGCAATAAACTGAATGGAATCGCCATTCGCTCGAAGATTTTATGCGTATCAACAATCTAGACAGGTTATATAAACCAGAATCGATTTAGAACTACACACATACATTTCAAAACATTTCCATATTGATAAGGTCAGTGTTATCAGCAGGGGGACGGACAGCCGAGAGCCGTCCCCTCTAAACGTCTTTTTACTATTACAGTTGAACTTCCGTAACAAGAACTTTTGTGACTTGAGCTGAGTAGCAACACCCTTTAGGGGGCACACTACGTCTTACTCTGTAATTCGAAGTCTCCATAAGTGCAACGTTTTCGTTGGATAATAGTGGTTCGACTTATGGAATTTCACCTGTATATACTGATAATACATATAATCTTGGGGTTCACGTGGCGATGAAAACATAGCGTGGGCTTGTCTAAGGGGCCGCGTCTAATGGAGTGGGGGCCCGAAATACCACAAGCGAATATCAACACAGGTCTGTCTGCGAGATAATGGGTCAGACCATTTGGTGTTAAATAAAATAGCATCTGATAGGGGAAAGTAATAGGAGAGGCTTCGCTTGGCTGCCCAGAGTCTAGCCGAATGCTATGAATGAAGAGATAGTTGGGGGTAGTCCGGCTCAGAATTTTATATGATGCAAAAGTGTGAAAAGATTCCGCCATTATTCAATATTGCTTCTTGATCTTGTGCTTGTGTCTCTGTGTGTCCCGTAACTGCGACTTGAAGCTGTTTTTGTTTGTATCTGTAGGTAATAAGGAAAAAAATAAGTTTTTGCTCAGACTCAACAACCGAAAATTCCATGTGATGGAATTTAATTGCCTGATCTTTTTCGTAGACGGGCAGAGTTACAAAGATCAACGTCAAGTCGTTTGGTCATGATATGATATGGTATGATACTTAGGGAAAGTAATTAAATAGCTAGAATTAAAAACATTTAGCAAAAAATGTTTCATTTCGGTGTTCTATGATACAAAATTGTATTAAAAATTCAAGATCTTTCTTCGAAAGCAATATCATGACCACAGGCCATCACCCAACATCATTCCACCATTCAACCATTTCCATATCATTCCAATTCCATTGGACTTTCGATTGAAATTAAGAGAGCGGAAGAGAGAAACTTTAACCAAAAGCTCTTGATTAGTGCCGCTCTCTGCAGTGGGCTTTTAATTGATCGTTGATAATCGCGAGACAAAAGTCGAGCCGCGCTCCATATAGAAGCTCAGTGGGCACTCCGTAAAAACAGACTGCGTCGGGTGCTCTGAATAGAAGACTGACGACCGGTTTCTATTATATGTAAGTGGTATGTTGAACTTGGGATTCTATGAGTATAACAATATTATCTGAAGCGATTAGGTATATCATTTTGTGTTTATTAATAAATACCGCCTTGTTTTCGTAGGTCTATTAATTTCCTGGCCATAAAATGACCCCTAATATCGAGGAGGAGGCCTGGCGGGTGTCCGGAATTTCGAAGAACTATCCCAGCTATCGCCAGCATCAACCTGCCACAGTGGAGAGGTTTGCAGTTCTTAATTTCATTTTAAGGCTAGAAGAAAACTAATACTTTGTTTGCACTTTAGCTGGCTGGAGGGCAAACATTCGGACGATGGGGCCGAAGGTCTCTGGCGTATTAACGATAAGCTATACGACTTGAGCGACTTTGCCACGCGGCATCCGGGTGGGGCATACTGGATCGAGTGCACCCGCGGCACCGACATCACCGAGCCCTTCGAGTCGCATCATATTGAGGACCGAGCACGACAATTGCTCAGCAAATTCGAAGTGCGGGAAGCAGCCCAACCAAGGAACTACAAGTTTACGTTCGATCAGAATGGTTTCTACATGACTCTGAAGCGGAGAGTGAGAGAGAAACTGAGGAAGATGAATTATAGTCCCACAAAGAAGACAGATGTGGGTTGCTTTCCCTTGAAGATACACCGATCTGCAATCTATATTTCTGACTTTCTTGAAACCCTTTTTTTAGTACCTCCACTCTGGTATCCTGGCCTCTGTCTTTATGCTTAGCTGGATTGGCACAGTCCTTAAGTCTTTGTTCGTCCTGTCCATAGCTGGCTTGGCACTTTGCTGGCTGGCAAATGCCGCGCACAATTACTTCCATCAGCGGGACAACTGGCGGATGTACACCTTCAATCTGACGCTGATGAGTTTCAGGAACTGGCGGATCTCGCACGCTCTATCCCATCATGTGTATCCGAATTCTCTGCACGATCTGGAGCTGTCGATGTTTGAGCCGTTCCTGTGCTGGGTTCCCAATCCTCATTATGGCAGTCGCATAAAGCGCTGGATATCGGTGGTGGTTTCTCCGCTTTATTATGTGCTCTCCTTCTCTATGGCGTTCCTGCAACGGTGAGTGGTGGTCATAATTGAAAAGTTAGGTAGGTAATCATGACGTAACTCTATCAATTCGTAGTTTGGTCATCTCACTGGCTAAGAAGAACATAATGTACTGGGATGATCTCATTGCCTTTACTCTGCCCCTCTTCCTTTATCTCTCCACTGGCGTGGGTCTGGGTGCTGCTCTGTGGAACTGGTTGCACGTCCTCGCCGTAGGAGCCTTTTTCTTTGGGTTCATTGGACTGACTGCAGCCCATCATGATCCTCGTATACTGCACGATGGCGATGCCCAGCGCACGGACCGAGACTGGGGTCTCTATCAGATGGATACGGTCATCGATCGGCGAGACGTCAAGTGGTCGGATCTCTTGGTCCTCACCCACTTCGGTGATCATGCGCTTCACCATCTCTTCCCCACGCTGGACCATGGAGTGCTCAAGCACCTCTATCCGGAGCTGAATCAAACGATTCAGGAGTTTGACGCAGAGTTAAGAGAGATGAACCACTGGGGACACATCAAAGGGCAGACGCAGCAACTCCTACGCATGGAGGCTAATCCCATGCCTCCAGGCAGTAAAAAGTTCATGTAGTTTTGGGAGGAATGTGGATGTGTGCTCCGGGTGCTCACGAAAAAAAATTTAGGGTTGGGTAGTCAATAAAGTTGAATGGCATCCAGTTTCAAAGAAATATACATTCTTCATGAGGGAAGGGGATGTCTGCTTTGGAATGTGATAAATGGGATATATGTATATGTATATAATAAGCCTTTAAATATTTTTAGAAATGTATGCAAACCAAGTCTGAAGATATATGTTTTAATCTGTTCGATGGTGTAAAACATGACCATCTAAATCTTGTATTAAGCTCGCTCTCCACAACTCTCTCTTCTTTGGTCTTATCGCCTCAGGGAAACAGTGATTAATTGGTAAAAAGCTTTCATTCTCTCATTATCATTCTGTTTATATTTAATAAAAGCTCTATCCACTTCTGGTTTGTATATGTAAGAGTATGGTAGCATTCGTTGTGTTATCGTTATTTTTGTTTATGTCTCATTTTATAAGGTTTGAAGCTCCCAAACATTCCTTTGAATCGTGTTGTATTTATTATTTATTTTGGATGAGACCATATAACTAATTAGTTAGTTTTAACTATAGCTAGTTAGAATTAATTGTGAATCCTATTCCAAAAAAAATTCCCATATGGACAAATTACAAGAACATAGCTAAACGTTAAAAGTGCTAAATATTAAGGGTGCCAAAGCTTTTGTTCGCATTATTTTAGACTTTTAAATACTTTTGAATAGAATGCATTAAAGTAACGCTTTTTAGAATGAGCCAATGTTAAGGAAAATATATTAATTTATCGGATAATATTATTCTTCTCCTGAAAATAGCGATGGAAAAGTGTTGCTGTACCAACACATAAGTCATTTACAATCCTAATTATGATAAAAAAAAGCACACACAAAAAACACATAAGTCCGGAGCTGTATGTTACATAAAACTAAAATGTTGGTATTCGAAATGATAAGCCATAAATGTGGAGCAATCTAATAAATAAAGGTACTAAAGATAAGTGAGAGATTTACATTTTTACTTTTTAGACCCAGTGTTGTGAAAGAAGTACTAGAATCATGCTTGCCCGTCCAACAAAAGATGGGCCAATCAATTTGTTTTGTTTGTGTGTATATTATTATGCATTGTTGGTATCAATTACATGATAGGTACTATAATTTGTGCTTCATTAATCTTTAGGCAAAATGTTAAAATTATTTCAAAAAGGAAAATCATTCGAAAATACTTCAATACCCTTTGATTCCATTTCACAACATTCTAAATCAGTTAAATTAGACGGTTACCTATGCGTGGAGCACGTAGGCAGATAAGAGAATTAAATTTAAGGCAAAGAGAGGCAACTTAAAATGCTACAAATTTGGCTCTCAGGGGTCGGGTCTGGTCTGTTTTGATAAATAAATAGCTTGTCGTGTGCCTCGGTTCCAACAGTATTCGATTATACGTTGACCAGACGGGAAAATGTTAGCAGTCCGCTCCATATTTTTATTACTAGCTACTTTAGCGGTGTGCGCTCGCGGAGCGAACATTTTGGGACTGTTTAGCAGTCACAGTCCGTCCCATTTAATAGTGCACATGTCTGTGGTCAAGGCCCTGGCCGAGGCGGGTCATAATGTCACAGTGGTTTCCATGCAGAAGCCCAAAGTGATGCACAAGAATATCCACCTGATAGTGGTGCCGGTAAAGGAGGAGCAGGAGCGAGTACTGGAAGCACAATTGGCCACAATGGCAGGTCAGAAGAACTCCATTGTGAGCACTCTGAATCGCCTGATGAACGACATGAATGTGATGATCGACGCCCAGGCAGATCTGCTATCGGACCCACGGTTCCAGCGCATCTACGAGACGAAGTTCGATCTGATGATATTGGGTTATTTTATCAACGATTTTCAGTTGGGGGTGGCTGCCAAACTGCAAGTGCCCGTGATCATAGACTGGATGAATGCCCCCATCCCTATCATAGACGTCTTTACTGGTAATCCTACAGAGGTGTCCTATGTGCCCAACATGGCAACATTTGCCGAGCAGCCCATGAGTCTGCTGAAGAGGGCCGAAAACTTGGCCAAGTATCTGTTCATCACTTACATGACCCATAAGCTGGATAGCCGAGTGACACGTCATTTTAATAACAACTTTGGGGGGGAGAAGGGACTGCGTAGCCTGGAAGAGATGAGGAAAAATATCTCCCTGGCGTTTGTCAATTCTCATCTGATCAGTGAGGGTCCCATCAGGCCGCTTGTTCCTGCCATCGTTGAAATCGGCGGCATACAGGTTAAGGATACGGCGGATCCTCTACCCAAGGATATTGATCAGTTCCTGCAACAGTCTCCGGACGGAGCCATTCTCCTCTCTCTGGGCTCGAACATCAAGAGTACTGCCGTAAAACCGGAACTGATCCAAATCATCTACAAGGTCTTGTCGGGCATCAATCGTAATGTGATTTGGAAGTGGGAGGATTTGGAAAAAACTCCCGGCAATTCCACCAACATACTGTACAAGAACTGGCTGCCGCAGGACGATATTCTGGCCCATCCCAACACAAAACTCTTCATCACCCATGCCGGCAAGGGAGGCATCACCGAGGCGCAGTATCATGGCGTTCCCATGGTGGCCTTGCCCATATTTGGGGATCAACTTGGTAATGCCGTTCAGATGGAGCGCTCCGGCTATGGTCTGGCCCTCGATCTTCTGAGCATCACTGAAGAAAGCTTTAGGACTGCCCTCAATGAGGTTCTGGAGAATGATAAATATCGCCAGACCATTAGCAAGTTCTCCTCGATGTACAGAGACCGTCCAATGACCGCCAGGGAAACGGTTGTCTACTGGACTGACTACGTCCTGCGGCACCGAGGAGCACCGCACCTGCAGAGCCCGGTCGTGCACATGAGCTTCATCGAGCTATTCAATCTCGATTTGTATGCTTTGCTGATATCGGTTCTTGTTATAATTCTGGTCCTAATTCGGTTAACGGTTCGTTTTGCCTGGAACAAACTGCAGGGCAAGGCGAAGAGTAGTCCAAAAACTTCAAAGAAACAGAAAAAGCTGTGAAACATCTTAATAAGAAATATATAAGAATTAAGTAATACAACCAAAGTAAGAACTCATTTCTAGCTTTATTTTCTTAATCAAATAAAACTTAAATATGAAAATGGTTGGTATGGTTTTGTCGAAAAAATGTTCAGTAGTCAAGTCGTAATTGGGTCACATATATCGCCATAAGAAATTTTTATGTTGTAATAGGGCTATCATTAATTTTGATTACTTATGTTAAGATTGATAAAGCTGTTTTTAAAAATCAAACCTCCCAGGCAACAAACAATGTTTTCTCAATCGGAGGTCATTATTATTATCTCATATCTGTCTAGATTATTGTTTTGCCGGCTGAAATCTGCCGTTTCATTATTAAAAAGCATTTAAACAGTACCCAAGCGCCTGATACGCGATCGGTTGCCGGGACCTATGGTTGCTGATAAGTTAAATTAATGTTTTCTACAATACAAGCAAAGCGATTGGATTCCCAGTCACTGCGGTGCAGCAAAAACGTTTTCCAGTCATATCAATTCCAAATATTTATACTTCTTTGAGAGACAAATCTATAAAAACTCGTCCGCTAGGGGCTCGTCGCTCAGTCATGTATTGCGGGATCGAGCAAAAGTATTCTAATAATGGAAAAATTCCTTCCGGCTTGTTTGCTAGTGGTTCTCATGCTGGGAATACAGCCTGCTATCATCGAAGGGGCCAATATCCTGGGAGTATTCAACAGTCACAGTCCCTCTCATGTGATCGTAAACATGGCTGTGGCTAAGACTCTGGCAGATCGGGGTCACAACATCACAGTGCTGACCCAGATGAAGCCCAAGTTTCAGCCTCATGAGAACATAACGGTGATTGTGGCGCTACCTACGCCCGAACGGGAGAGGATCACTAAGGAGTACATGGCTCAAATGTCCAGCCAGCAGAAATCCTCTTGGAGCTTTCTGGCCAAGCTATTTGTGCGGTCCAGTCCCATACTCGATGGACAATACGAGTGGACTCAGCATCCTAGAGTAAAGGCCATCTACGAGAATCCCCAGACCAAGTATGATCTGGTAATTTTGGGTCTGATGCTCAACGATTTCCAACTGGGCTTTGCAGCTAAACTCCGCTGTCCGGTGATCTTATCCTGGGTGGGAATACCTATGCCCTTAATGGATTCGCAGGTGGGAAATATCGATGATCCGGCCTATGTTCCCAGTCTGAACGTAGCCCTCGAACCGGGGCAGCTCACCATGGGCTTTGGCATGCGTTTCGTCAACTTCTTTAAGCATTCTTTCCTGAAAATTGTAGATGTTTTTATGAGACAGAAAATGAATGACTATTATAAGTGAGTATTGCAAGTGATTGCTCCAAAAACGGGTAGCCTTCAACCATTAAATGTTATGTCATTTCGCAGTGGAGCTTTTGGCAATGATTCAGATCCGGAGTTTCCTTCGTACTACGAGATGAAGCGTCGCATATCCCTGCTGTTCTACAACTATCATGGCCCCAGCGAGGGACCCATCCGTCCCACAGTCCCGCAATCCATTGAAATTGGTGGCATACAGGTGAAGGAGAAGCCTGATCCTCTACCTAAGGATCTGGCTGAGTTCCTCGACAACTCCACTGAGGGAGCCATACTCTTTAGTCTCGGGACCAATGCCAGATTCACTGATATTCGTCCTCAAATCGTAAAGGTTTTGTACAATGTGCTTTCCAAGCTTCCTCAGCTGGTGGTCTGGAAGTGGGAGGACATGGAGAATACCCCAGGAAATGCATCAAATATATACTTTAGTAAATGGCTTCCCCAGGACGACATCCTGGCGCATCCAAAGACGCGACTCTTCATCACCCATGCGGGTAAGGGTGGGATAGCCGAGGCCCAGTTCCATGGAGTTCCTATGCTAGCATTCCCGATATTCGGGGATCAGCCGGGAAATGCAGAACTTATGGCAAAATCAGGATTTGGACTCCATCTAGATATCCTGACTCTCACAGAGGATGTTCTGGAGGAGACCATTCGTGAGCTCTTGCAGAATCCCACTTACGCGGCGAGTGTGGGCAGGTTCTCGGCTCTATATCGCGATCGTCCGCTGACCGCCCGCCAGTCGGTTGTCTACTGGACAGAGTATGTACTCCGCCACCAGGGCGCATATCACCTGCAGAGTCCCCGGCTCCACATGGGTATCGTCGCCCGCCACAATCTGGATGTGTACGGAACACTCGTGCTGGTTGGATTGGTTACGCTGTTAATACTACGCCTGGCATTCCGATATGTATTTCACAACGTTTTAGGAGCTGTGCGTGGTCATTGTTATCGGACAAAAGCCACGAATAAAAAGCCTAAAGATAAGTTATTCTGATTGACATTCAAGTCCAAAAAGCGAAAAAATAATTGCATAAAATGAGTCAGTAATTACTAGTAGTAGTAAATAATACTAATCTTTAATGAAATGAAACGCATTAGTGTGTGCTAAGTCGCCATCATAGTATAGTAATTTAAACAAGGGAGTGCCCAAAGAAAGTGACTAAAAATAAACAGTACAGACATATAAAATTACAAAGTCGACTATTCAAATGCCCTGGCGGAAAGCCAGTTCGATTATTTTAAAATTTAGACTCGTCATTTGAAATTATGAATAGTACATTTGTATTGACTTTAATTAAAACTCACAATGTTTATTTGAATGGAATGAATGTCGAATGGAGTCCAACAAGTGCCCTTGCCTGTGGAAAGAAGCATAACTTTGTGAAGGGTATATGCCGTATGGAAGGGTATATGCCAAAGTAAATTTGCTGAATACTCAGAACAATCTCCCCATAAGGAACGCCCAACGAAAGAGAGAGAGAGAGAGAGAGAGTGCATAAAGATCAACGAAAAAGCGAGTGAGTGATGCACAAGCAAAAACAACCAAGGGCTCAATGAGAGCGGGAAAAGCTTTGCTGGAAAGCATGACTGGACAGAAAGCATCCATTGAAGTGTTCTGTTTGTGCTGAGAGACAGACGGTAGTGACAGAGAGAGAGCCACCGTGTAATCAAGGAGCCTTGAAATTAATTGCTTACACTTGCTCTTGCTTGCAAAATACAGTGTGTTGCGTTATTGTAAGTTATTTTAGACTATAAGCGGTCTACTAACAGTTAACACTATCTATGTTGCTGGGGGCATTATAAACTATTTCGTAATCCTAATATTGATTGATTTTCTAGGTTATTGAAGGCTAAATTTCCCTCCTGTTGTAGTTTATTCTTATCTTGATTACAACATAGCATAGTTATACCTTTGAAACCCATGCGAATCTCTTATCGTTAAGCTTTTATTATCAACAGATAAAGTTTATAATCCCAAGGTGCCACTTTTGACCTGCATTATAGCTTTAATAATTATGTCGCATAGTGTACACGTACTCCCCTCCAAGCTTAACAGGTTGCCTCCTACTCTCTCTCCATGTTTATTTATAGAAATGTCCCTCTCCCTGGCGATCGGCTCTCTTTAGCTCCCACTCGTGGCCCAAGAGTGCGATCGCAGCGGTTCGATTCGATTCGGATTCAAATTCTCAGTGAGTCGCAAGGCAGCGCGTGCCCGAACGCGTTTTGTTTTCCAAATTTGTTGTCTAGTATTTAATAGTGTATTGTTGCTGTCTCCCGAGGAGGTATTTAAAATATCTATAATTGTATTGTTAAAGTCATCAGCTGAGTGCGAACTGAATTAACTAATGAAACACTAGTTAACCTCTAAAGTGACATTGACTGTGAGAATATTTGCCCCTTAACCCACTCGCCCGTGAAGTTCTGTGAAATATGTCGAACTATGAGCAGTCGTTTTAACCTTTCTTGTATTTCAATATATTCGTTTTTATTTCATTATTCAACGAATTTGTTTTTCGTTTTGGATGTTTTGACATGGATGATATCGCGATAGTAGTCGGAGTTTATTCTCTGTATTCCCTCTTAGAAATTAGTTTTTAAAACTTTTTGGAACCACTTTTTGTCAATTAGATGAACGGGAATGCAATTTTAGTAAAATTTTTGGTAATCATACAGTACACTATACCGTTTCATAATCAAAGAAGTACTTCACTTTTGTTACTATTACTTCTATCAGTTTCAAACATTCGTTGCCAACTGACACGCATTTTTTTCAGATTAAACGGCTAACGAAATCTTATCAGTGTGTTATCGTGTCTACCGAAGTACTATAAGATACGAGGCAGAATCTAGTAACCGATCAGTATAGACACGGACTTCATCGACGAATCAACGAGTCATGACTGAGCAACGAAGCACCATCTTGGGCTGCAGCTTGGGCGGCCTGCTGCTCGCCTTCCTGGCCCTGCAATCCCTGCCCCAGAGCACCGAGGGATCCAACATTCTGGGAGTGTTCACCAGTCACAGCACATCGCATTTCATTGTGCACATGTCCATTATGAAAACGCTTGCCGAGAAGGGTCACAATGTTACAGTGGTGTCGTCGGTGCCGCCGAAGGTGACCCATAAAAGCATCAAGCACATTGTCATCCCACTTAGTGAAGAGGAAGAGAAGTTGATCCACGGAGGCATGGTGGATATGGTCAAGCAGAAGCCCTCCATTTGGACCACCATGAAATCGATTTTCACTTCGCTTGCCGGGCTCATAAACAAACAGGTGGATACCCTGGAAGACAAGCGTTTCACGGATCTCTACAATAACAAAGATAACAAATTCGATGTAGTCTTTGTGGGCTTCTTTTTCAATACGTATCAGGTGGGACTGAGTGCCAAATTCAATTGCCCCTTGATTGTTTCGTGGATGGGTCAGCCCATGCTTATGGTCAACGAAATTATTGGAAATCCGGAGCTGTCAAGTGTCCCTCAAATGTCCATATCCGTGCCGGCAGGAAAGGCCATGAACTTCCAGCAGCGTCTGACGAACTTCCTCAGCAGTACCGGCTTCCGATTTCTCGGCAAATTCCTTCATTTCAAATACCAGGGCTTCTATAAGTGAGTAGTATTGACACAATTTTAAAGATACATACCAAGCATACATACCATCGACTCATATCAGTTTGCCTAATCATGTTGCTGTTACAAGAACCAGCTATCATTGAAAGATTATCAAAATCATGAATGATTGATAATTGATCTATAATCTATTATTTATTTGGAACTCTTTCATTTCTTCCCCCACAGACGTCTTTGGGGTGATGACAAGAGCATGCCCAGCCTCGAGCAGGCAATGAAGAACGTCTCCCTGGTCTTCTGCAACAGTCATGGCATCAGCGAGGGTCCCATCCGCCCGAATGTGCCCGCCCTCATTGAAATCGGTGGCATCCAAGTGAAGAGCAAGCCAGATCCCCTGCCAGAAGATATCAAGCAGTTCATGGATAATTCCAAAAATGGTGTCATCCTGTTTAGTCTTGGCTCAAATCTCAAGGGCGATCACTTCAACCCTGAGGTGGTGACGACCATCTTCAAGACTCTGTCCAGTCTGAAGCAGCAGGTGATCTGGAAGTGGGATGATCTCGAGACTACTCCTGGAAAGTCTGCCAACATATTGTACAAGAAATGGCTGCCCCAGGATGATATCTTGGCCCATCCCAAACTCAAGCTTTTCATCACGCATGCGGGCAAGGGTGGCGTGGCCGAGGCCCAGTACCATGGAGTCCCAATGTTGACCCTGCCCGTCTTCGCCGATCAGCCAGGGAATGCAGACAAAGTAGTGGAAAACGGCTATGGCCTGCGCTTGGAGCTCAACTCCTTGGAGGCGAAGGAGTTCAAGGAGACTATCAAAGAGATTATCAGCAATCCAAAGTATGCCCAAAAACTGGAGACCTTCTCCAAATTGTATCGCGATCGTCCCCAGACTGCCCAGGAATTGGTTGTCTACTGGACGGAGTATGTGATCCGTCACCATGGCGCTCCTCACATGCAGAGTCCTCTGGTCCACATGGGCACTGTCGCCAGCAACAATCTGGATATTTATGCTCTCGTGATTTTGGCATTATATCTGATCTTCCTCGTCAATAAGATTGTGTGGAAGTTTTTGTGGAAAAAATGTACTGGAAAATCGAAGAAAACAGCACAGAACAAGAAGGTTAAAAAGCAATAAGTTGATACTGATAGAATACTAAGAATTTGATATTTTAAAATATAAAGTCTTTTATAAAGCGAAAAAACGACAAATAAAATATAAAAACGAGAACTTTGTATATTTGGCATACAATTGTAAATCTGCAGATTGTAGATGATGCTCTGAGCTCATCCAATCGTTATGTACAGTGAAAGTTTAAGGTGTAAATAAGGAAACGATCTCCTTAGAAAATCGAACAGAATCATAATGAAAACAATGGAAAAATAATTTCCATAGCGATTTTTAAAGAACAAATACAGAACTTTATCACCAAAATTAATGTATTATCATTTTGTTACACCTCTCCAGTCACGTCTTCCGGCTATCAGCTAAAATCCAAGACAAAATCTTCGAACACGCCCAGCCAGTTAGATTAGCCAAATTTGAACTAAAAAACCTAACAGTCGATAGGCTCTTCTATTGCGCTGCCACCAGCTCAACCGGAAAGCCAAGCGGACGCATATATCCTTCTCGTTCACACTGCAAGCTTTTTCTATAAGGCCGTCTCCTTCAAACAGAATCCGTCACCTTATTTCTAAATTCATTTTGGTCTAGTGTAATACGGCCATACAAATTGGAACCAGTTCCAAAAGCTTTCGCTTTACTTCGGCTGAGGGAGCCAGTGTGTAATGTATATATCATGTAACGCAGACGCATTAACTACATGTGTATTTAACGGTTTTTTTATTGCCAAAAAATTAGTGGATTTGAAAGATAATCGATTTATGTAAGAAATGTGCTTGGTTGACAATTTATATGTTGGATTAGACAGATTTAAAACATGTTCATTATTCGCACACAGAAAATACATTCATAATTATGTTAATATATCCACCAGATATCCGCCCGCTCTATGCGCCTGCGCCTTTCTTCTTCGTCGAAAGATTCTCTGCTTCACCGGTGTCCAGATCGGTAGCAGTTTCCGTGGAATTTTTCAGATCGTTCTCCAGCTGAAACTCCGTATAAACTTCCCGGCTCCGACCCACACCCAGTTGGGCGTGGATGCTGTCCATTAGGTTGGCCAGGAGTCGGCTCTCGTTATGATTGAACAGCTCGCTTTGGGTGCAGCCATTCAGGATGCAGTTTCGCACCTCCTCCGCCTCGTAGCACATACCTAAGCGGTTGTGATAGTGAGTGATCACCTCGTCCCCACCAGGCAGTGGGAACTCGTAGTCAGTGTCCTCGGTAATGAGACGCGTGGGACACCAATAGTTGGTCATCTGTGGGGAAAAAGTTCTATAGGAAGATCAGGGAGAGATCTGTGAACACACCTTGATGCATCCGTCTTTGCCCTGGACGATGGCCTTATTGCTCAGCTTCTCCTCGGCACTCACCTCGATGTTGGCCCAGCGGTTGTGGCTAAAAGCCAGCTCTATACTGGCCACAACATCGACATTCTCCTCGTTGAGCTTTCCCGTAGCCCGCACCTTCTCTGGCACTTCCCGATACACCCATAGCGCCAACTGTATCCCGTAAACACCGAAATCGCTCGCCACTCCCCCGTAGAGGGCCAACTTGCTCTGCGATACGGGCAGTCCGAGGGTGCAGTGTACATTCTGGACGTCGCCCAGCCGATTGCGCAGGATCTGGTGGCGCAAATAGTGGTAGGCGGGCACGCAGCGTGGCCACATTCCCTCCATGAGGAAGAGACCGCGGGCCTGGGCTTTCCGCAGCAGCATCTCTGTCTTTGACTCGCTCATGCAGATCGGCTTCTCGCACAGCACATGCTTGTCATGGTTCAGCATCAGGTGGCAAAGTTCACCGTGCAACGGATTCAGGGGCGATATGTAAACAACATCTGACGTCAAGGAAGTAGGATTGTTAGTAGGATATGATCAATAGTAAGAATCCATTCAAAAAACACATTCTGAAGCAGAATAAGAGATTAGGGGACTATCTATCCCAAAGCTCTGAGCTCAAAACCCATTCTATCCTTATCAAACATTGCAGATAAGTAAGTTAGTAAATTGCAATAGCTAGCGAAGCGAATACAAGAGACAGACGGACTTCCACTGAATGCAACTGACTGCAGATACAGCGGGAGGGAAATCATTGATTCTAAATACTCACCAACGCTTTGGCACCTGGCCAGATCCTCAAAGCTGGTGTACACGTTTTTCACTTCATATTTGTCAGCAAAGGCTACGGCGTGCGAACGATAGGCGGCCGCACAAGAGACGATCTCATGGCGGTGCGGCGGCAGGACACTCAAAGCGGCAGCAAAATCATCTGCCATAAGGCTGACCGGCGCTATTCCCCACCTCAAAGTTTTGCCGTCGTCCGGTTGCGATTTGTAATCTTCCAAGTTGTTTTTGGAGTTGTCACTGTTGGATGCGTTGTCTGTGTTGTCAGTACTTCCATCACTGCCGCTGAATCGATTGATGTGCAACAGTCGTGGGCGTGGCCTGCACATGCTAGTGTAGACGTTGCCTCTGCTTTTGCTGTTGTTGTTGTTGTTGTGCTGGATGACTCTGTAGTGGTGGCGGCTCTCCGAGGCGAGTTGTCTGGACGAGCGCTTGGCGCGAAAGGTGGAGAGTGCATCTGGGGGAGACGTGGGCCGGGCAGAGATTAGTCACCTTATAGAGTGAAAACTACGACAACTCGCAGTTGAGTTCGGTTGCGACTTTGTTGTTTGTCGCGTAAAACACATTTCATTCATACAATCGAACGTTTTTCCACGAATTGGCGAAATTGCGGGTGTTTGTTTGGGTCTCGGCAACCGGTCCCCGGTGTGGTTGTTGCCTGGGTTGGGATTGGTATTGTATGGACCATCTACGTCGAAACCAAGACGACTGGGGCATTATGTGGCGCTGTTTAGTGCGTCAGTTCCTCCATAATTAGTCATATTTGTTTAGCATCAAAACTTGCGATAACTCGCAGCGGATCGGATCGGATCGCATCGCATCGGATCGCAACGAATCGGGTCTGGTTTTTGTTGCTGTTGCTTTTGCTTTTGGCCTGGTCCTGGCCAAGTTAGGCGCTACCTGGGCCTCGCACTTTGCGCCGCGTTCTGTCCGCATTCGAATTTCACTTTCTTTTTTAGAAACTAAGCATCGGACTGTTTGTATATTTATCACTGTACGAGTACTCTGCTGTACCATGAGGGTACCTAAGCTTTGCTGAGAAAGATGGTCGGTGCTTTTTCAATGGGAGAAATCAAGGGATTTGTATCTTATTCAACAACGAGAGAGATTCCCAAGAGAGACGTTTGATTATGTTCAATATTTGTTATCGATTACTACAGAAGGATATGTACTTGTAGCTTATCCATTATAGGCCAAATCATCGCTCTTTACTATCCGATTTATAATCGTATTTCTATTGTATCCCATCCTATAGCTTCTACCTATCGATCGCCAGCTAGAAGGAATGAATGTTTAAGTGAGTTCAAAGTGAATGCTTCCATCTGTCCATCTAGGTTATCTGTATCCAACTATCTATCGTCTCAGGAATATCCTTGGAATTCATGACTGGGAGATTGGGAGAGCATTCAACATTCCCCATTTCATCTCGGGGAAGCAGCCACCTTTCGCAGCTTATTTCACTTTTCAATAATTCGAGTGCGTGCAACAATGTCCAGGGGTACGTCGAAGTGGACTGCTGGCAGCGCAGCGTAGCCCAACACCAAAAACCCAACACACATGAAAATTTGTTTATCTAATTAGCGATGCACCGGGCGACAGCAAAGACAGGCCGCCGCCGCCGCCGCTGCCGCTGCCGCGCTGGTGGCTTCCACTCGCCCCAACAGTGCTTTTCACCTGATTTGGCATGCATGGCAGGTGCTGTGGCCAGTGGCGGGCACGGCAAGTCGATGGCCGTAGAAATTGCCCTAACCCAAATGCAAAATAATAAAAATATGTGTGAGACCCGTCATTCGAATGCTTTTGAGAGGTGTATTTATGGTTAGCCAATGAACGAAAGTGTTCTTTGGGTGTGCAGACTCAACAAAACAAGTAGGAATGCCATTGTCGATGCGAGTACTTCGATTTTGACATACCCATTAGTCAAATTTACTTTCCGAGTTGTACTTGCGAGTAGAAAGTTATCTAATTGGCATGCAGATAAGGCAGATAAGGGAATCGGGATATACGTTTACAATGAGAACAAAATACAGTAAATATATGGCAATTCTGCCAAAGAGAATCCGTTTTTACTGCTGGCAACGCCATAAACCACAAATATACACCGTTTTTGACATTCTGGGCGTAATATTTATTTAATTAAGATGATAGTTCCGTGGATAACAGCTTTACAACATTCAAATGGATACCATCCTATTTTATAGTGCAATGTTTTAAAGTCCTTAAAACTTTAGTCTCTGATATCCCTGCTATACCGATCATCCAGCAAGTTACATAAATCTTCACAAATACAATATACCGCATGGTCGTCTAGCATTATCGGGTATAAACAAACTCTCGCCAGTTGCCGGAAGTGTCTCTGTATGGGGACGAGTGCGAGTGTGTGCGTGTGGGTGAAATTATGCGCCAGTGAAAGGTTGCCTAATTTCTGTCATTAAACGACACGAGCACGAGCTGGAAATCCAACTGGAGTCGGAGTCGGAGCTGCAGATTCAGTTAGAGCAGGAGGAGCTGTTGGAGCAGGAGGAGCTGTCGGAGCTGTACGAGCCGGGCCATAGATGACAGCTGGAGCACACAAATTTGCCATGCGTGCGTCTTTTGATGACTCTTTCCACAGAGAGCGACGACACGGCCGGAGACAACATGTTCATTAAAGCCAGAGCGGCTTTGGCAGCATCTCCTTCGTGCACCGACAAAGCAAATAAATACTAAAATTTGCATGCCTGCAACATAAATCGTCGCAAAATATTAAACAAGTCAGCAGCAACAGTTGAAATCAATAAATTTATTGATACAATTTACACGGCTGAGTGGGCCTCAGCCTCAGCCTCCGCCTCTGCCAATAGCCTCCTAGCACAAGCACAAGCAACAGCAACAGCAACAATGTTTGCTTAGTGGCAAGTTGCAGGCTTCAAGTTTTGCTGGCAACATGCAACACAGCCACATGCAACACATGCGCTAATTAAGGGGGGGGCCGGGCCGCAAACCACTGGCGGGGGTGCCACTCGACACTCGGCGATGGCCTTGCCTCAGAAACAAGTTAATGCGGCTAACCAAGACCAACCAAGTGACCAACTGACTGAGGAAATTCGTTTGAATACGCTTTGTACGGCGGGGGTGTGGGTGGAGGAGGAGGACAACAAATTGCCAGAGAAGGGGAATGGAAATGATTTGCCAAGGCTCTATCCTTAATTTGAGCGGCAAAATAGTTTCCAATTATATAAATATGTAATTGGTGGCACTAATTTATGAGCCCCTTGGAATTGTCCACCATCACATCTTTTTCCGCTTTTTTTCTAAAGGTTGAGAGTCCTAGCATACAAAACTCAATTCTTCATATCTTGTAGGCATTCTTCTCAAGTCTTGAGCTTCACTAAAGAATACTAAACATACATACATACATATGCTTAATTTTGAAAAAGAAAGTGGATTGATTTCCAAGCGCTTGTTATTCAGTACAGTACCCATTGATATGGGCATACATTACGGGTATGCAAAGGCAAAGCCATTCTAGGTTGTGAAAGTCATGTGTCAAGTTCGTTGCCAAAGTCTTTTGATTTGCAATTTTTGGTTTCTGCTTCGTTTATGTTGCGCCTTAATTGACACCATCATTTTTGTGCACAAGACAAAGGAAGGCTTTGAGGCAAGGCACATCAGCACCTGACGTGTTTCGCGTGTGCGCGTCTCCGTCCCCGTCCCCCTCACACTCCTTTCCTGACTCCTCACACCCATCAAATACGCACACGCCCATGGGGCAGAGGAGACAGCAACAACAGCGGCAGAAGCAACAATTGACAGCCAGTCATGTCATGACTATTGCCAATTGCTTTTGTCTGTTGTTGCTGTTGGCTGTGGCCCGAAGCTCTTAACATATTTTACGATTTGTGGCCCCAGGTAGAAATTTATTTGGCCACAAATTTCGGGTGTTTTTTTATGCAACCGACACGAAAAAAAGCGAAAGTCCAGAAAACCGTTGCGACTAAACAGAACCAACATCTTCTTGGGAAACATGGGCCAGGCAGCTGAAAATGTGAGGCTGACTTGACAGCGAAACAACTGCAGAAGCAGCAGCTTTCTTCCATGCACAGGGATCCCTCCTAAAATCCGCGTTGCAGGAGGAGGTGGAAAAAGCTATACAGAACTCACGTAGACCAGCATTCCAATCATTCCATTCAGTTCCATATCCAAGCAGAACAAGATTCCCCCCCAAAAGTAGTATTGCATCTACTACTACATATTCATGTGGATATTCGCTCCTGTAAAACGGTTTAGAATGTGCTCATTCGCGTATGGGAAATTTGTACAGCGAATCAACGTATCATTCGTATCATTAGTGTCCGAATGCTAAAAATGGTCCAGGGGAACAGAAAATTAAAGATTCGAAAGAATATTTACAACAAAACCTGCGAAAGGAACTTCAACAACAACAAAGAAAACCACACCACAAGCAACAACAGCAGCAGCAACAGCAGAGACTTCAACAAAAGCTACTTTAGCAACAACAAAATACCAAACAGGCAGCACAACAACAACTACAAAAAAAAAAGCGAAAAGACGACAACTTTGGTGACGTCGCGACGTCAGCGTCGACAGAGACAGCAACAAGTGCAGACTTGTCTGGTGGTTCGCTTGCAGTCGCTGTCGCAGCCACAGGCAGCGTCGCTGCCTCTTTTAACAGTTTCGAATTTGAGTTTTGGCCAAGACAACGCGAAATCAGTTAACAAACGGACGCGATTTGAAACGGATGCACTGGCACCAGACCAGAGAGACTAGAAAACCTGAAGATCCTCCATAAAAGTCCCCGTCAGAGACGAACGCCGAACCCCAAGCCGAAGCCGAAGCCAAAAGCCAAAGCCAAAGTCGAAGCCGAAGCCGTGCGAATGTCTGTCGTCGGTTCAGGTGTACGAATAAGAAGCTCCCAGAGCCACCTTGGCCGTCGCTACGAGTATCTTCATCGGCCGCGTTGGTCGTTTAAAAGTGAAATTTACTGAATGAAATGAAATGAAATGTTTTCTTGAAAGCCCCGTCCTCAGTGCCCGAGTCCGAATCCGAGCCCGGCCATTTTTGTGTGGATCGTATCGTGTTTTGTGTGTTTGATTATTGATTTGTGACAATTGTCAGCCAGGAAATGACTGCAAATTAATCAAATAAGAGCATTCACAAAAGGATTATAAAACGAATACAAGCCCGAAAGCCGAAAATAGAGTTGAGAATCATCGCTCCTCAGCGACCTGCATTGAATGGTAAGCTGTTTGCCAGAAACCAGATGATGTAAGATCCTGCTTAGATTGTGTAAGGCAGTGAAAGTGAGTGAAAGAATTAGTTGATGAAGTGAATGTGGTTCTGGTGAGGTTGGAAAGTGAATGATGGCTGTTTGACAAACGATCGTTGGACAGAATGAATCTTTTTATTAAGTGCGAGTGTCTTTAAACTAGGCTGGAAAGGGAGTTTTCCCTGCTT